CAATGATTCCACATCTATTCTGGAACCACTTCTTTTTTACACAAACCATCAATCATTCCCAACTTATTCCTTCCAAGCAAGGTTACTCTCATTGATCTATACCAAATCGAGTAATTTTCAACTCCAGTCAATTGAAATGAAATGATTTGTGTACCACTTACATCAGTCGAAGAAAGGAACATAGGATGATTGTAGTCAATTGTCACGACCCGAGAGCACCCCCAAGTCGTAACAAGGCGTACTCGACCCCGAAGGGGTCTTATACGAGCCACATAGTCATTCATTGCATTCAATAATGAAAATAGTGCGGAATAAAAAAAAACTTATTTACATCCACACATTTAAACTTCTTAAAACAACTTTAAAAACACACAGCGGAAGTCTAAGTCTCACATGGCCATCTTAGACACAGTCGCAAAACATAAGTAGGGACACGGCCCTTTACAATCAAAAGAAGTCTATTACATGAACAAAAGAACTTAAAAGTCTTATCCTCGAATCCATGAGGACATACCAAGTCTTGGAAGAAAGCAATCCAACACTTCAAACTAGCTAGGAGGGATCACTTGCCAGAACCTACACTTATAGTAAAAGTATGAAGAATATGGGTTAGTACACAAAATGTACTAAGTATGATGACCATGCAAGACATGCTTAAAAAGGGACATTTTAGTTAGAAACCATGCATTATGCCACCTTTTTGAAATATCATGAACAATAGCATAAAAGACATACAAGACAAGCATAACATCAAGTAAGTCATAATATCACCTTTAAACAATATCAACATGAAAACCTTTACCTTGGACCTTCACCTCAAGCAACCCTTATGCTATACCTCGTGCAATGTATGGATGGCGTCCCATACCACCATCCATACTAAGGCACCACATTTAGGTCACTTAAAGTAACTTATCATTCCTTTCTTTCACCTTTGCACAATACTCATACATAAGAGGTATATCATTAATTAAGACATGACAAGGGAAAATAACTCGTAATATAACCCAAGTATAACATGCATAACATATTAAGCATTTAAGAGCCAACATTCTTTAATAACCTCATTTAGGGTACATTCATGTCACAGTCATTAGGATTTAGAGAAACTCACTATGACCCTCTCCAAGCCTACTCGTGCAATGTATAGGTAGCATCCCATACTACTACCTACACTTTGTAGAACCTGTCAAGAAACCATAATGAAATCTCACATGATAGGAAGTAAGCGTTTAACCGACATAGACCATGAGAGCTTGTCATGGAATCCCCACACCGAAAAGAGGTGGTCTACTTACTTAAGGGAGACCGGTATATATATAGCTTAATGGATCCACTAGCTTCCTATGCGGGCACATAGTTGATGGGATAAGGTAGACGATCATTGAAACTCATGCCTAACTGTCGGGGGAGTTTCCATCTAACCAAATCCGCTCGGTGCTTAGCCTACATTCCCATAGAATAGTTCATTACTTTGACATCATCACACATGAAAGGGTGCCATAAGCCTACCGATTCAAGGTACATTTAGGAAAGCTCATTAACTCCTCTTGAAAGGGTGCCATGGGCCTACCGATTCAAGTCTCATCATTAACCTTTATGGAAAGGTGCCATAGGCCTACCGAATCCAAGGTTCATTACTTATCATTAATGGAAGGGTGCCATTAGCCTACCGATCCAAGGTTCATTATAAGCATGTGTGGAAGGGTGCCATAAGCCTACCGATCCAAGGAATCAACAATCAACAATATAATCATTTATACAAAAAAATGATGCATAAGCCCTACCAATTCAAGGTATATTTTATATTGAAGAATTCTTCATATTATATCATCAACATTCATGAGTGTCATCAACACATCACTGGATTTCCATACATCTCATAATTCAAACTTTAAAGCATCGATTCATCAATTCTCCATAGTTGGATATTTTGTCAAACACCTTGAAGGCATGTAATGAAATCAAAGAGCATGGAAATTAGGGTAGTAATTATGCAACCAAACCAGTGAACAACCTACAACAACACCTTTACATTCATAGCATGATCACATTATCTTCATTGAATTCTCATTCGTATAATGTCATGATAACACTCCAATTTCTCATACTATGCCTTTAAGGCCATAAACCTCACATACCAATACACCAACAATACACCATAAAATAAGCATGGGTAATGACATACTTCAACAATCTAAGGACCTTTAAACAAGTTTGATTCATATACATTCATTATCTAGCAACCCAATTCATAAAGGCATAAACTAGGAATAGAGAGAAATCATGGGTTCATGGAGTATTTTCATCTTAAATCGTCAATACAACAACAATATAACCATAAAGTGCCATTAGAAACCTTTTAAAACCATTTGGTGGAAGAACCCATGAGATTGAGTGAAAACCTAGATTTTTCATACTTTGAAATAACTTTGGATTTGGCTCCTTGAATGGAAAATTAGACAAGGATCAAGACCACCATACCTTTGCTATGATCTCCCACGAAAATTGATGAAGAAAGCCTTGAATCCAAAGCCCTAGCTCCCACTTCTTCTTCTTCTTAAATGGAGGATTGTAGAGAGGGAAATGTTTTTAGGGATGGGAATTGGATTATGGTATCTAGGAAATAATATAAGTCCTTTGAAAAAAATGGTCCAACACTTAGAAAAAAATCAGGCGGGTGAACAGTAAATGAACAGTAAAATCAGCTACTGGAATTTGCATTTTCTGCCGGACAGACTTTACGAAAATGGGCATAACTTCTTCGTCCGAACTCCGAATGAGGTGAAACGAAGTGAGTTAGGTATCTAACTCAAAGGGCTTTCCATGGATATATTATTGGCCACCCAAATAATTTGTGTGCTAGGAGATATGACCCTCCAAAGTAGACCCTCGAAAAAGGCTTCACTTGGAAATTTCGGATTTTGATACGGTTGCTCTAAAATTTGGGTTAGACCCATTTCCCACTCAATTTGACCCCCTAAACAAGAATATGAAGTCGGATTTTCGAAAAACAAAACGGATCTTTTTATATACAGCTAAACAAGTTTCCGGTAACTTCCGAAGCACATTTTTAAGAACTTTTGGGTCAAATTCAAATATAATCATTTCATTAAGTTCTCGACTCCAAACTCACATGTGAGGCTCTAGTTTTACTCTATCATTTTCCGAGTCGTTACATCAATTCTAGTCTTCTGACCAGATTCAATTGTTTGTAGCTGTGTAGACTATTCTCCATCCACTGCAATTGATGCTATAGAGAATTTTCAATCATTTTTCAACTTAATCGAATGATTCTGACCTTGATATGTTGATCAACCCTTCAAACCAGTTTAACTAGTTGTTGTGGGCTCTGATACCATGAAATTATATGAAGAAACTCAACGAGAATGAATTCTACTACTATGAAGAAAAGAGAAGAGAATATAAGAAAATAGATGAGAGTAAAAAAGAAACAGATTTAGACTCTGGTTTCTTTCATTCTTTTTTCAATACATACAAGAAGATTATGAGTCTAGTTATATAGACCTACTAACTACACTTGATTCTAACTAACTATATTGGTTTAACTAATTATACCGTTACCTAACTAACCTTGTAACTAACTTTGAACTTTTCACACTATCCTTGAGACTTTTAAGTTATTCCTTCAATAATTTGTATTTTTTTTTGTATTAGTTTAAGACTTGTCGAGCAATTTTAATTTTAATTAGGAAAGTTTAATTTGTACTTACGCCCTAAAACAAAAGGCGTATGTCCAAACTGATGGGGTTTACAGCTCACACATCTCCCATATGTGTTTTTACTATACTCCTAAGGCTTAGCCTGAGACTCGCTCAAAAAATGTCTTTTAGAACGGTACTTTTTATAGTGAACAATTCTTATTTATAGACATGGGTGGTCCAAGGGAAAAATAAGAAGCTAGTAAAATGTTTGCTTTGAACCCCCAAAGTGTTGAGATCGCAAAAAAAATTAATGATTAATTTTATCATTTTTTTATTTAAAAAATTATTGAAGATTGTAAAAAAAATCAAAATTTATATACATATAAAAAAAGGAAAAACTATCTATAATTTATAAAATATTTTAAAACTTTGAATTAAACAATTCATATATTCATATTCATAAATAAAGTTTTTATAATAACATCCAAGTTACACTTTGTTTGGTTTGACAAACACATATTATGAAGGCAGACTTACATAAATATGCTATATTAAGAAAATATTTACCATTTATAACAATAACATTTTTTTTCACTTGATCACTTTTAATACAATTTTAATATATTTATAATACAATTTTAATACATATTACAGAAATTTTTTTATAAAACACATATAATACAAATTTTATTGATTGATAACATATTTATCACACATTTTAATATATTTATAATACAATGTGTCAATTTCTTACCAAACAAGCATAATATATTTTAAAACAGTTTTAATACATATATATTGCATACATAATTCACTTTTAATACATATTTCAGATTTATTATGGTATTGCCATATATTGTTATAAATAGTAATAAATAAAAAGTATCATTAAAATCAGTATCCATTCAAGTAATTTTTCCTTTATGAATTGGGTCTAATTATTCCCATTAAGCTTGTAAATTTCTATAATTGACTCTAGGTGCATAGTTATAAAACAAGAATAATGATTGATCTCTACCAAATATCTTGGATCATTGGCATTTACCTGAACTGGAATGTTTAGAACCAAGGGTGGACCTATGTTGGGAACAACCTTCACTTGTAAGATGTTACCAAAATAACAAAAGCATATATAAGAGAAATAGAGATATCAAAGTGTGTGCTTAAGGCAGAGAAGCAGACAATTACCAGCTTTGGTTCTCTGGTATAAAATCTAACAATCATATTCTAACAAGTGACTGATGCGATAATATGAGATTTCTGAATAAATAATTTTTTTCCCTCTCTAATTATTGTACTATTATTTAAATAAATCATCGACCCATTTTTTTCTCCTAAGTTTTTTTTTTTTTTTCAAATTTAAGTTCTAAACATGTCTTTATTCAGAAGTCTAGCTACAATCATTATGTAATAAGGAAAAGACTCATCAATAATAAGAGTGGGTTCAATTTTCATTGCTTAAAATTTTATGAATTACATTACATTAATATATGCACCCACTAATATATTTGATAATTATCACAATTAAGAAGAAAAAAAAAAGGCAATTAGTTTCCCCCCTCTCTCATCATTCTACCTTTTTTTTTTCCTATCAATTGACAAACTTTAGAGGCCTCATCATGACATTATCTTCATGATCAAGAATCTGCATTTAAGAAGAAGAAAAAAAAACAAGAGATGAAATCATTATATTATTAACACGAGAATTAAAGGTTGTAGTAAGATGAATAAGAACACTCCACTCTTAATCAAAAATCTCATATTTAAGTTATGAGTATGAAAAATGTTTCGATAGGAAACAATTTCCCCTTTAATAGGTCTTATGCGACGAGAATCTAGATTAATCAGTGGTCCAATTCAGACACAGAATACCGAATAAGAAAAAGTTGAAGAATAAGAAACACTTACATGGCAATGATAAACATAGCCAGGCTCTGCTGTTGCATCAAATGAATATGATTCATTTGAATGAATGAAAGAAAATTTCACAAATATTTTTGTAACATGTCCAGGCATCATTTTGTACACATTTTTCCACCCTTTCTCATGAAGAACCACTCTAGTCCTTTTCCCATGTGAATACTTGTCAATTTTGCACTTAATTGCATCATTCAATTTCATCATACAAGCTTTAAACTCTTCAATATTCACCAATTCTATTTGTTCCAACACAACAAATAGACCTAAATGTATGTGCAATGGATGATTGTCTTCAGTTAGATTAATGATGTTCCAAATCTCACTAGTCCCTACCCTTGGCATCTCAGTCACGGGCGCCTCAAACGATTTTCCATTGATATATAGATGCGTAGGCTCATCGATATCACTAGCATACTCATAAAAAGCAATGTACCTTGTATTCGAAGCCTGTGATATCTCTGGAGGCGTATATGTTATCAGTTTCTGCGGAATATGCCCTGTTTGAACCTCGTGATTCGGGTTGATAATGAACTTCATAACGTTACTATTCTCTTCGTTGACGGGATCGCCAGATGGATAAGGATACGCAGCATCATTGGCTAAAATCGCCGAGTTTGACTTTGACTTTGAAAAGTCAACAATCACATCAGCTATTTCGGATGGAGCTAATAGTAGGTCATGGAGCTCTACCGGACTTTCATGATAAGCTGAATCAGACGCCACGTGTACAAACGTCATGTTATTTGTGAAGAAAAATTTGAAAAACCTTGCGTTACTTGCATTGATGATCCGAAATCGATACTTCCTTCGTTTCACATTCATGTAAGGCCATGCTTTTCCATTGACTATGATCGCATCACCAAAATATTCAGGTTGCCACTGAGGATGTATAGAAGGATTGTTACCAGTAGAATTCATGTAAATTGAACCATCTGATCTAAAACCACGATCAAAAACAACCAACGGACGATCATACTCTTCACCATATATCAATCCCAATGGCCCCTCAACATTTGGTTGTTGTATAACATAGGCACCCATGAGACCAGCTAGAATGTTGATCCTAGTCAACCCCATCGCGTGATCGTGGTACCACATAGTACCGGGATGTTGATAATTATGATAATGATACTTTTTTATAGTCCATTTTGGTCCATGATGTTTGAAATTTTTAGTGAACCATGCCTCAGAGTGACCATCACTTTGTGGTTCATCAATTCCACCATGTAGGTGCACCACAGTTGGAATTCCTGTTTTAAAAGAAGTTGTAGCAGTTGGAATTGTTGGGTCCCATGGAAGTATGTGCTTTGAAGGGAGGTGATTTTGCCACGTAATATAAGAGTCAACTCCATGAACGGCGTCGATTGTAGGACCAGGGACTGTTGCTGTGTGCCGCGATGTACCATATGCAAACACTTGACTTGCTGGAAGGTCCCTATGGAATTTCTACAAAAGCAAAAAAAAATTAAAAGTTTAATTTCTATATACTAACCATATAAAAATTACTTCTCGATAGGTAGCAGGTCATTATAAATTATAATGTTTGATATTGTCCGATTAAACCTACTAAGGTCTGAAATTTCATTTTGAGAAGTAAAGCGCTTTCTTACTAAACGTGATTCTATTTTCACGACTCAAATATAAAAACTTCGAGTTAAAGATAGAAGGGGATATATAGATGATGATTGAATCACTATAAGAAATTAAAGTATAGCATAAAGTTAGATCAAACAACAAAGAAAGAATGAAATTTTCTAATTTTATACTAGTTACTAATAGGAGTACTTTATGAAAATAATATTTTTCTCCATTCTCAAGTACATAACATTTTATTCCAAAGTAATGATTAAGATAAGTGATGTAAGTGGACATATGATCTGGACTTTGGACATCCAAAATAACAAAGAAATTAATTTTTGTAATATTTATTTAAAGTGCTAATTAAGGTTGAGAGTAACTTTTTCCACACTTGGTGGATAAAAACATTGGTACAAATTTAATATTAGCAAAATTTCTAATGGTAGATGTCTAGTTGGAGGCCACTTAATTACAATTCAAAGTTATTTTAGTCTTGAAACTTAGATACGTATTTTTTTATCACGCAGGCGTTGGCCTTCGATATCTGTTTTGAAATCAAATAATCTATTAAATTCATATAATAAAATGTATTTTATCAAAGATGAATTCATTTTCAAAGTTCGAACATATTTAAGATGAACCAAATATTATTGTGGGTCGTCAAATTCACCCCATCCTCCTTCTATCAACTTAATAGCAACAACAATAATATTAATCTCGTAAGGGGTTTTTGAAATGGAGTAGAATGTCATAAATTTTAGTATTTTATTTTTATGGTAGAGAAATTGTTTCTGATATATCTTTAGCTCAAAAAATATCAATTTAATAATTAATAAAAATAAAATATTTAAATATTTCCCCAATCATTTTCATGTTTATAGGAATTATCGCTTTTTCTCAATTATTGGTTACTCATAATTCAAATTGCTAAAATAAAAAACTATGAACCTCGTGAACCACTACATGTGTTTGTGTCTTTGTGAGTAAAAAAAGTTAAAAAGGGGCACATTGAAAAACTGAAAAAAAAAAAGGTGGGGATTAAAAAAAATAATTTAAAAATACACACTCATGACACACACGCAACCACGCAAAATATGTGGAGCGGTAAGTATTCTATCATTTTAACTAAAAAATTTAGAAATAGACGTCTTTATTAGAGTGGTTTATGCTAATAATTCTCTGGAGTGTATTGACACTTTCCAACACGATATTCGAATTACTAAACTTCGAAACTAATATCGAACATCAAATTAAAAAGAAATCGACAGAATGAAAATTACTCTAGTTAATTTATTTTATACGATACTTTCTCTAATTCATATTAAGTGGGTTGTTGGATATTTATACATTTCTTAAGAAAAACATATAAGAAAAAAAAATAAAAATTACTTTTTATTATTATATTTTTTATTATTTCTAAACTATTCTCTTACAGAATATGAAAGAAAGAAAAAACTCCAAAGAATTCTCTAGAACTTCACAAAAAATTACTTAATTTGAATTATTAAAAAAGTCTCAATACTTTTCAATTAAAATGGACTAGAGGAAGTAGTGTTAAATCAAACGCGACATTATTTTTTTTTAAAAAAAATTGACTCATAATAAAATCCTCTCACAACTTATAATTCTCAAAAAAATAGAAATTAACAACGGACGAATTTTGCAGCTGAACAACAAATATCGATCTCTAATTCTATTTATTACCAACAAATCATTAAAAAAATGATTAGCTACGAACAATTTAATGATAAAAATTTGTAACGAATTACTTACCCATTTTTTGTTGTACATGCCAATCTTGAGAGATTTAGGAACATGAACACCATTGATAACATCATAACCTTTGATTCTTGGCATGTCTTGGAGTTCATCAACAAACATTTTTAATTTTGAAAGGGTCATTAATTGATCATTAGAATCTTTTGCCATTGTTGAAGCCATGAAAATTCCCAAGAAATTAATTAAATACACCAAAAACAACATTTTGTTCATTTTTTTAAATATATTTGAGGACCAAAGTCACCAAAAACACCCCTTTTTTCTTCTTCTTGAAGTTTTAGAAGAAGGAGAGGGGTGGGGTGGGGGTTGGGGTGGAGGTGGGATTGATAGATAAGAAAAAATTGGAGGATTTGTGTAGAATATATAAAGGACAAAAATTTGGTTTTTGAGTTCACAAGAAGAAAAGAAGAACCATGAAAAGCACTTAATTTATAGTATTGAAAATTGGGAACCTTTGTTTTTTTTTTTGTTTGTTTAATGTGATGATAACAAAAAAGATCCATGATATTTTATGTGTGTTTAAATATGGAACTTTTAGTCCTTTAAGCTTTGTTAATATTGAGTACTTTTAGTTTAATCAAAATACTCCCTCCGTCCATTTTTACTTATCCACATTATATTAAAAATAATATAAGTTTCCTTTTTGTGTATATTTTACTTTTGACTTTAAATACTATTTAATACTATCTAATATATATTTTAAAGCATTAAATTTAATATATTTCAAAGATAATAATCATATTACATCTATTATTTATTGTTTCTTAAAGTGTGCGTCAAGTTAATAGTAGACATTTATTATTGGACAGATTGACTATTTAATAAACTCTTTTGGTTAGATTTAACAAATTTGTGAAAAAAATAAATATATTGGGAACTTGAAGGTGCAATTTTTGTAGTTTGTGTTATACTCCCTCCGTTCCTAATTACTTGTACACTTTTGAATTGACACACTCTATTAAAAAAATTTGATATAATGAATCTATCATTTTACCCATTAATTATCAAATAGATGAATTAAAAATTTAAAATTTTCAAAAAACTTTACCATTTTCAAAATTAATTAATTGATGGTATAATAGGTAAAAAAAAAATTATCATTTCATGATTTGTCAAAATGGACAAGTGAAAAGGAACAGTAAAAAAAATGAAAATTAGAGAAGTAATTAAGGACAGAGGGTGTATTTGGTATATTTCTAGATTTTAGTGCAATTTATATTGTTTTTATCCATTTTTTGTGTGTACGTTAGCAATTTTTTTTCCTTTTGTATTTCTTAATTTGACAGTATTTTATTAGTATTTCTAATTATATTTTACGGTTGATTTTTTCTTAAATCTAACAGAGTTAATTTGTTTAAATATTTGACAAAAATTATTAAAAAAATACCTGATACTAATAAATATTAAAGATTAAAATTATACTTAAAGGCTAATTTAAATTTATTCCAAAAATATAAAGGGTCATTTTTGTCACTTTCTTGAGGGAAATAAGGTGGGCTTCAATGTCTCCGAAAAAGTTGAGGTTATAAAAAGAGTTTCAGAATTTTTTTTGTCTTTTACTTTGATATTTTAGTTCTTTATATATATATATATATGAAAATAAATATCTGTTGAAAAATGACTTTTATTTTTTGGTTTTATTTGAAAGACTTTTGTTAGAAACGAGGTAACTTTGTATTTTTATTTATTAAAAAATTGTATATATTGGAAAGACTAATTTAAGTAAAAGCTAATAGTGAAAAAAATGTTTTACTTTATGTCATTAAATAATTTTTGTGTAGAAAAATGTTTTGTTGACTACAATAAACTCTTACATTCAAATTAGTGTAAAATAATTAAATTCATTGGATGATCCATGACCCTATCACATGAAATTTCCTTTTTAGTTAATATTTTTCCATCTGCTTTAATTTTTTACGAAGTTAATTTAATTAATTTTAAAATTAAATTAATATTTAAAATTAAATTAATATTTAAAAAATCTAAATTTAGGTACTTGAAAATTATTTGAAAATACTATAAATTGCAATTCTTATCATATTGATATAATTAAAAAATACTAGATCAATATTCATATAATTTAACTCTAAAAAATATGATTAAAATAGAAAGATAAGAACTTCTTTTGGCATGTACTTTGAAGCATAGGCTTTTAAAAATTTTCTTTGCAATTTTTTTTGGAATGATACTTGATATTAAGCTTTTTTTTTATACTTAATTTTTATGGTTTCATCACATACTATTGTTTAATCGCATATCGATGGGATGAACTATGAAGAGAATTTAAACTTCTTATATGGACTTAAGCAAATTATTTTCATGTGTTAGCTGTTACTTTTTGATTGAGTTAAGATTAAGATTAATTTTTTCGTGTTACAACTTACAAATATGATAATTCACGTGTCAATTCCATGTGAACTTCATAAACTAAAAGAAAAGTTCATTTTTGAAAAAATCTCAAAATAAATTTCTTACTAAAGGTGTCACCAAATGTTTTATGCTGTAGTAGATAAGTAAAATATTATTTTGACAAAATATCACAATCACTTTTAAAGAATTTCGAGTTTACAAAGTCAATATTTTGTTTATGTAATTGATAGAAATGATTTTTTATATCATTCAACAAATGTTTGAACAAAAATATATACTTGTTCTATTAGCAAGTTGAATTTAAAATTGATTTTTAAGTAATTGTTCAAATCAAAGATCATTAAAAAAAATTAAAAATTCTTTTCAATTACTTTGAGTGATTTAAGATTAACTTCAAAATTCATTGGAAATGAACTATAAAAAAGAGTTCTTTAATAACAAAAAAGTTATAATAATATTTAGTATAGTACTTATTGTGGCCATGCGCAACACGAATTATTTCTTACTAGCCAATTAATTGTAGTTGACAAAACAATCTAGTTGCTTAAAATGATTTTATCATACAATAAAATAAAATTATGTCAAATCTTTGTCGATTTCTTGAAACTATCTTATGAAATATTCAACAAAAACTGTTCTTTTTTTCATTTTTTAATTTAACCAATTAGTATCCTAAATTTGTATAATCCAAGTTAATTCAATATAAGTTGATGTGACTTTTTTTTTTTAAAGTTTTTCACTCAATTATCATCGATATCTATATAGGAGTTCAACTTAATTTGAATTTGCATCGAAAAGTCTCACGTTGAGAGGTAAAATGCTTCCTGACAAAAGCGAATTCGTACCTCGAGAAATTAATTTGTTTATCGTACTTTTCTTTATTGTTTGTTAAATTTAAAAAAATAAAATTAAAAATCTTTCTTTTAACTTTTTATAAAATATACTTAAGATAATAATATTTGAATTTTAAAAAAAAATTTGACTAAATTAGCTATATAGAATCTGAAATGTATGGTTATTATTGGATCGAAGTTACGTTATATTGATGGCATTGGAAAGTTATACTCGAATTTCTTGCAGCTAGTATATGAACATGATAATGAGAACATAATTTATTCCATGAATTATAACATTTTAGTTGACTCAACAACCATATCATCCGTTTCAAATTATCAGTCGTATTTTTTTCATACTTCATAAAAAAATATTAATTAAAATGGAGGAGTTTTTAATTATATTGCTCTCATGTATGTTTGAACATATAATATTTCTTCGTTAAATATTTACTCTATTGATATGCTTGTGACAAAAAATTCGAGACAAATATTTTTGAAATTCATGATAGATAATTTAAGACGGAAAAAGTATGTATATTCCCTTTTTCTTCTATGCAAATTCAATTCTCCACCATCTAAAATAGAATAGTATTACATTCTTAAAAGTGATCAATTACCGACAAATATTAAAAAAGGGCAATCAAAGTCATAATACTAAATAGTGTACGATGTGGAAAAAAAGTTGCGTATATAAAAATAGATTTAATTAATTAGTTAGGACCTAATTCGATCCAATTAATTTATTCTTAGTTATTAGGTTTCAACTTTCAAAGTTTATTCTCTTGTGTGCTGGCCATAAACAAGAGGTACAATTGGAGCCATACCAAGTGTATGAAACTTTTTTTTTTAAAATGATAGCGGTAATGTTCGAACCAATTTATGCACACGGCGTTTATATATGTATAGAATAAAATGTTCCGACGAAGGGGTGTTAGATTTGCCCCTAAGGTGGTTCCGCCCCTTGAATTCAATCAAATCTAACAGTTTTTACATAATGCGTATATGTACAAACATTTCTTATAATAAAAGTCAAAATGAAGATCAAATCAAAAAGTATTAATTTTTTTTTGGATTTGTATTCGGTGTTCAGAGTCTGTATTGGAGTCTCGGTTAAATCTGAATCACGCATTGCAGAGCCTTTTAGAGGTGATGTTCTCAACAAGATTTTGTTCATATCCAGGACTCGAACCCAAAACTCCTGATTGATGATGAAACAGTTCCACCACTACACTACAACCCAAATTGATAATCAAAAAGTATTGTACAATCATATTTGTGATGAGATGTGATTTTACCTTTTTTGATAATTAGATGAGTCATGTGGACTCTTTTAGTTCCACATACACATAGTTTTAGCCAATTGAACAAGACCATTAATCTTTTCATTGGAATTTCTTCATGCCTTTTCTTGCTTACTTTTGAGTTTCTTTATATATATATATATATATATCCTTTTTTCCACTCCAAACCAAAACCTAAAGGACAAAAATGTTGTCAAATCATTCAAGGAAATAAAAAAGCCCTCTCTTTTTGGACCATTGTTGAAAAATCTAGTCCTTGTAAGTAAAAGATGTAATAGTGGAACGTGGCGTAGTCAAGTAAAAGTAAGCGGTTCATATCCGATAAAAAATTATATTGTATATTTAGGATAGGACTATTGTATGAAGATGTCGTAGCTAAGAAAAATTATATTGCGTATTCAAGATGTCATAGTGGAACATGGGATAGTTAAGTAAAAGTAAGGGGTTCATATCCATTCGAAAATTATATAGTATATTTAAGATAGGACTATTGAATGAAGATGTCGTAGACAAGTAAAATTATATTGTTTAAGATTATATTGTATATTCAAAATAAAACCATTGTATGAAGATGTCGTAGCCAAGTAAAATAATATTGTATATTCAAGATGTAACAGTGGAACATGGTGTTGCCAAGTAAAATTAACCTCCTTAACTTTTTTGTATTTTAATTTTCACTAATGAAAGTTCTAACTATGTGAACACAATAATTTAAAAGCTCTTAAAAGTAAGGGTATAAGAAAATGATGAACCACAATAGTAGCATTACTACGTGTTTCAACATAGTTTCAACATAAATTTAGTGATATTTTTTAATAAAAAGTTATACATAAAGTAAAATTGAAAAATAATATTTGAAAATAAAAGTTATATCTGGACATGTGCGTTTAATTTGAAAATTATCAATCTCGTAATTTTATTTATCCACCTCATTGTTCACTAAGCGAAACTCGAGAAACTATCTAGTAACTACTTGGCGTTTACTTGATAGATGAACATTTTCTTGAGGTGGGACCTCATATCTTGACTTAAAGACTTGGATTATGTATGTACATGGATGAGTCAAATTATTGGGCTATTAAGTTAGCCATTATATACTTTTAATCTGATCGATATGAACATCATGAATTATCTCATAATAAAAATAGTTATTTTATTAACAAAGTATATTTTACGATAATCAGAATTGAAGACTTAATGAGAATGTGATATGATGCTACGTATATCGAACCTAACTCATATGATTTTTTTTTAAAGAAAAATTAGCATCATTAAAACTATTCATAAAACTATTCATAATTTGTACGTAATTTGTTTTCAATAAAAAAAATTGTTCTTACACATAACACAAACTTTATATAGCTTGATATATACTTGAGGTGTGTCATAAGTGGTGGTAAAAATCCAATTATTATAGTTACAAATTAAAAATAAACATGAAAAAGAAAATCTTCAAACTGAGATATGAATAAATTGTTCTCTTTAAGGAGATACAAGTTCATTGTGATAATCTTACCGATTCAGTAATATAACTCTTAACTTGATCCCTCTGTGATACAACTTAACAACATCTTGACTCAAACAACCTCAATTTAACTGTTGAATTCAAAATTCCACCAAAAAAACACCTTTCTTCAATAATACCCTTTTTTTAAAACCTAATATTATTGATCATCATTGCATTTCATTGACAATAATTCATGAATGTATAGTAAGCCCACTGCTTTCCATTTATTCAATCAGAAATCATGACTCATTTTTCTATAGATGCAATATGAATACTAAACATCGAGTGATCAACCTGAACTTTTTCTATAGTTTCTGATCACTTGATATTCAATATTTATATCGAAGCTCAACTAATCAAATTCGTTTCTTTTTAAAAGTGATATTTTCAATCGAAAAAGAAATGCATACTCCAAATTTGAACTTGACACCTTTGAATACAAGGGGCAAAATCTCCTATTCCAGTCATCCCACCACACCTCATGATCCTAGAATTTTCGGTTCTTGAATTGTCCAACTTCTTTAACTAGATAATTAAAGTGGAAGAAAAAATAAATTACATATACATTAATACATTGTGGATTTCCAATGTGTTAAGCACTTTAGCCTATATAAATTCTTCACCAACTTCCTGTGTCTTATACTCATTTATGCACTTACAAACCAAAAAAAAATCATTTCTTATAATACAAAAATTATTATTCCCATTTTGTTGTTAGGTTGATCACAAAGGGCCGTGAGTTTTGTAGTAACGGTAAAGTTATTTTCGTATGACCTATAGATTATGCGTTTGAGTCATGAAAATAATCACTAATGTTTACATTAGAATAGGTTGTCTACATCACACCCCTTGAGTTACGTCTCTTTTTGGGGCCATATTTGAACGTAAAATGTATTACACTCTATTGTGTATTAAGTTGTGTATTACAAATACCAAGGAATTCTAGGTATTAGTAATACATAGCATTTTAACACTTGCATTAGATCAAATAATTACAAAACTACCCTTAAAGCCTTTTCATTTTCTTTGTTGTCATAAGTTTTTATTTTTATTTTTATTTGCTTTTCGGTGTCTTTTAATTTGTTGGTGTCTTAATAGACTTTATGGACTTTTAAGTATCTTTTTTTTAAAAAAAATCTAATTTCAATATAATTTAATCAAAAAATTTACTATTGTGACAATAAATTTGATAAAAAAAATTATTTTCCAACTTTCACAAAAATATTTTGACGCAATAGTACAACTATTTAATACTATTTATTTTTTTAAAAAAAAAAGATGAAGAGTTAATGATGTTTTAGCAAAGAAATCTTTTTTGATGTTTTAGCAAAGAACTTTGTTGCAAAGGAAGTGTACAAATAAATAAAGTCTGAGGGGTATTTTTGTAAACATATATTCTTTAATAGTAATTATGCAAGATTTGTTATTTCTGATACATCAAACCAAATAATGTATAAGAAAAAATACTTGCATAACTAATGCACGCATTACTAATGCAAGCACTATTAATGCAAGCATTACTAATGCACCATATTTTGCATTGTTCTTATACACTCTACCAAACGACCCCTGATTGTATTAAAAATATTTGCACAATCAAATAATAATATAAAAGAATTTAAAATGTCAATATATATAACTCAAAATTCAGATGGGCCAATTCTCATAATTAAGTGGGTTAGCCTTGGGATCTCAGATTTCAACATGGATCAAAGTTTCTGAGCCCAAAGAAGATATTGTAGACAAAAAATTAGGCCCAAAATTCTCAGATAATGGACTGCAAGTTCTTACACCTTTGAGTGGGCTTGGACTAGAGAATTTAATTGGGCCCTCAAATGGACTAGTATTTAATTTTTGTCTTACAAATAAGTCAATCTTTAATTTTTGCCCTTTAAACTAAACTTATGTTTGGTGGGGTATAAGTTCTTCAAAGATACGGACCATAACTTGTGAAATACTATGAGGACAAAATACAAACTTATGCTTCGTGAAAAAATTGGAGATCATCATAAAGTAGAGGTGAAAGTGCAAATGACCCTTTGTTGAGAGCGTACATTAGGGAGTAAGGCCCGATTTGTTTCCATTTAATTGAAGTATGAATCTTAATAATTGATACGTCAACTTATTAAGTGTATTTGTTACACTCACAACCACTTATTAACTCTTAATTAATCTTAAACACTCAAATTTTAATCTTAAAATCATTGAAACATTTCTTTAAAAAGTAAATGCAAATATAACAATTAGCTCTACGTTATTTATTACAATCGTTAAACACCCACATGATCTCTATAACTTAGTATTATTATCAATCACATCCATCATCAACTTTAATCACGCAATCACAACCTTAGTAATACTATCAATCACCTCCATCATCAACTTTAACTACACAATCACAACTGTTAAACATCATTATCATCAACCCCTGGCCCCACCCCTACCACCAGCTTTTACTGCACAATCATAACAATCAACCATATTGTCGTCAACCTCCAACATCAATTTTTACTACACAATCACAACTATCAACCATACCATTTTCAAACCACCACCACTCATGAATAGTGATATTTCACGAGATTAACTATAAAGGCCAAAAAAACCTAGTTATGTAAAAGAGGGGGGGGGGGGGGGGGGGGGGTAACCAATTGATCAATCCACTTGTTGGAAAGTGTACCTACACAAGTATGTCCTACTCTCAACTACTAGTAAAATAAACTTTATTACAAGACACAAATATATACCCACTCCCTAGCATTTCTTTAACTTTTGGTGGTCCATATATATTAAGGTGACATAAATTTCACAGCAACCACGTGATTTGCGCGTGCCAATCCACCTAGCAAACTATTCCCCATATTTATATTTTTGCTGTACACACAAAAGTTGCTCATCTGTCCAAACACAACAAAAATTCTTACAACCTTTACATTGCCCAATGTCACACCTTGTCTCTTCAAACTCCCATTTTGTGTTGGTTATCGACTAATGTTTGATATTCATATTGAGGTCTAATTCACGCTGCAAAATCCCATGAGAGGTAAAATAAACTCAGGACTCAAAATCAAAACCTCTATCTCAATTAATATTAAATAAGTACATACTACCCCATCACTGCAGTTCAAACTCCCATTTTTAATACCCAAACACTCAACATCATGTCTAAGTTGACTCAACTTTCCTCAAAACCACAAAACATACCTTGGTCTGATTCACATTCCAAAATCTCATGCGAAAGATAAGACCCTCTACAGTAAAGACATTTCCATACTCAAGACTTGAAATCAAGACCAAAACATCAATTTAGAATAAAGAAATACGTACAACTTCAAAATACCATTTTAATACTTCAAATCTTAAACATCCAAGTCTTAGTTGACTATATATTCATCAAAAACACATAAAACATACATTGCTAATTAAACATAATCTTCCACTATCTTAATAATAATAATACAAACTACTTAAATAAGGAGAATTATACAACAATATATAGAATTGTAGCAGTAGCTAGAAAATACATATTAAACATCATATATCTTCTGATGTTAAATAGAAAAAGATTTTGAGGACTTAAAATACTCCTCATCCTCAGACCATTACTTCAATTCCCACATTACAAAATACACACTAAAAACCAACTCACATAATACTACAACTACTAGGATTCTCATCACTAAACATATGAGTATTAGTGGCAGATTGATCAGCATTAGCAGCAGCAGCAGCAGCAGAAGTGTAATAGTAAGGATCAGCATAAGTAGTGTAAGGGACTTGGCCATAATTATTGTTGGTATTGTTATAGTAATAACCAGTGGCTGGAGGAACGAGAGGTGAACGATTGTACATCATCTGAGGTTGTTGTTGTTGATGTTGCATAGCATGCCTGTTTTGAAAATTCATTAGCATTTGTGATGGATTGAACTGTTGTTGTTGTTGGCCTCCATTGTTCATTAGCATTGAGGCAGATGATGGATGATGATGACCACCGGTTGATAAAGATCCCGGTATAGCATTGTTTTGATGACCTTGAAATCCATTCGCATTCAAGAATGCAGCAATGTTGCTGTTGTTATTCGTAGTAGTAGTAGTACCATTGTTGTTATTCCCATTAAAACCAGCAAGATTCATCATTGCGTTTAAGTCCTTTGCTCCGACCATTCCCATTTTCGCAGCCTCATTGAGGTTGACATTTGGACCTAATTGAGCAGCAGCAGAAGCAGCATTGTTCATGTTCATTTTCATAGCATTTATTGTTCTTTGATCAATGCCACCGCTTCCAGGATTTGCCTTCATTGGCATATTCTGAATAGGGCCAGTTTTCTTGCCATGAGCAGCAACATTGTTGTTGTTAACTTTCCCATTAGCCATAGCAGCCGCCATAGCTTTCTTGTTATTTGCTTCTGCTTGTTGTTGTCTAAGAATAGCCATTTGTCTTGTTCCATCTCTCACAAACCTCATTTCTTCCTCAGGATAACCATCGTCGTCTTCATCATCATCATCCTCATCGAGATAATCAATTTCCTCCGGCAAAAGATTGAATTTTTGCTGGTGCTGATTCTTGATTATACCTTGTTGCTTTTGATTTTGCTTGTTCTTGTTGTTATCTTTGATGCAGCTGGGGTTTTGTTGTTTCTGAGCTTGATTAGTGTTATTCGGAGACCAAAGCTCCGCATGCTTACGAGCCTTAACTAATCTTTTAATCAAAGTACCAGAATCAACACTACCATAAACAGTCACTTTTTGATGCTCAAAGTCGATATTTACTTGGTAAACACCTATGACAATTAAACAACCTTTAAAATTAATCATACAACAAAAGGAACTAATGAAGCAATAATCACTTAATGAATTACTTATCCACTCTAAAAGGCAAGGAAAAGCAGTTAGTAAACACCAATAAAAAAACATAACACATGCTCAAACATTCAAGGATGGAGTTGAGAAAAAGCTACAATCTTTACAACCCCAAATGGCTAAGTGAAGTAAGAAATCATCAAAAACACCAAAATCTAGACTTTTCATGATTCACTCAATTAATTTATTATATCATCTCAAAATGCAAAAATAAGAAGTTTAGTGAACACTTGACAAACAAAAATCTGAGAAAAGGTACAATCTTTACAACTATCTTCAAATAGTGATAAAAGTTATGACAAAAGACGAGCATGTTTAACAAAAATTAAACCCCAAGGAGAGTAGGAAAAAAATCATCAAACAATATCAATTTCTAGTCTTTTCATGACATAAATTCTTAATGAAACACTAATCACTCAATTAACAACTAATTCATCCCAAAATGCAAGAAAATTAAGTTGATGAACTTTCAAGAATGAAACTAAGAAATAGCTAGAATCTTTACAACAATCTCAGAAAAAAAAACCATTTCATCCTAAAATGCAAGAAAAAGTTGTTAGTGAACTTTTAAGAATAAAACTAAGAAAAAGCTCAAATATTATAGAATAATCTCAAAAAAGTAAGGCACCTTCAATTCTCTGAAGGAGCTTCTTCACTTTCTGCTTGCAACCATCACAATGTATGTTCACTCTGAGCTCACAAGTCTAGAAAAAATGCTTAAATAATTATTAGCCAAAACCAAAAAGTGGGTACAAACAAGCAAATAACTTTTCAAGAAAACAGAAAAAAAACACAACTTTTTACAAAGGGGAAAAAATACCTGAATCTTGAGTAGCTTAAAGTCTTCATCTTTAGTCATATCTTCAAAAGTTCTACAAAAGGAAACAGTAAAATATAAACACAAAACTACAAACACATAATAAAATAGGCAAATGTGGGAGGGTTAAAAAGACTATTTGTGTTTCAAGATTCTATCTTTTTCAACCCTTTTTCCCTCTTTTCTTTAGTTTAACTCATTAAAACAAAGAAAAGCAAATGGGATGTTTCAAGATTCCATTTTTTCCCACTAATTTTCCCTCTTTTCTTCACTTCAACTCATTAAAAAACAAAGAAAAGCATATGGGGTGTCTTTAAAAAAGGAAGAGAGACATTTTAGCAAACAAAACGAATGCCAACACACAAAAAATTGAAAAATAGAAAAAAGTTGAAGACTTTTTTAACTTACAGAGAAAAGGGTGAAGTGTAAAATGAAGCAAAGCTGTATAGTGAATTAGCTTTAACTCTGAATTGAGAGATGATGTGATTTAATGTTAAATACTGTGAAAAAAACAAAAGATAAAAAAATATAATTTTTATTTAATTTTGAAATGAAGAACAGTGACTTGACAAGCTGACTTCTATCCCTGTCCTCTTTGTCACATGCTATATCTATCAACTCTATGATATAACTAAAACGAGGGTCGTAATGGAGCGGTAAGTACTTTTTTCTATTTAATTGGAGATTTTGAATTTAAGTCATTTTAGGTATAAAGTTACCTTTGTTAGTAAAGGTAGTGATTTATCCTCGATATAAATTTTTTGGCACAATTTAGATTTAATTGGTACATATAATACAGATAATAATACATAAACGTATTTTTTAACTTTGATTTTATCTGATATTTATGGCTTTTATTTTGAACATACATTCGAAGAGCTCGAATCGAATCGGTATATATTACTTGTTGTTTATCTTGTATTCCTAAGATACTTAGAACAAAACTTTGAAGAACTTAGTAAGACGCAATAAAGTTTAAAAACATTCTCACAACAAGAAAATTAAAACTAGTAGAGAAACTAGAATTAGAAACAGATTGGAATTTCTTAAAGAAGAATTGTTGTCAATATGTGTTTAAAAAATCTTACTGTTTCTAACAAACTTTGCAGAAACACGAAGTTACCAAACTTTAATGAACCAGTGAAGAACAAAAGAACATAAATTAATTCACAAATCTAAAATCTGTAACACATACCAAAATCTGGAAAAACAGAAAGAAGATCAAGCTCATTGAATGCACAGTGTCCCCTTAAGAAAATTATTCCCCTCTAATATTCGAGGTTTGATTTGGAATATGTCCTCCCAGGATAGGATAATCTCAATCACCAGTATATTGATACCCAAAACGCTGGTGTCAGTGAGCCACTCAACGACAATAAAGTACACTTAAATACTAGATTTAGTAGTAAAAGAAGAACTCCATAAATTGGTTCTTTTAAAATATGAGGAAATCTCTCAATTTATAGAAAACAAAGGGTAGTGTGAAAATGTTCTTATTGTGCCTTACTGGAAAGGTTACAAACCTTTGAAAAAGTCACAATTTTTCGGAAAGGTCACCACCTTTTATAAAAATCACAACTTTTCATAAAAGTCTCAACTTTTGATAAACGTCACAACTCTTCATAATAATCGCAACTTTTCATCAAAGTCACAACTCTTCATAAAAGTCGCAACTCTTCATAAAAGTCGCAACTCTTCATTTTCCATTCACACCTTTTAAAACCCAACATTACTCCCTCCGTTTAAAAAAAAAATGACCTACTTTCCTTTTTAGTCTGTTTAAAAAAGAATGACCTCTTTCATTTTTTTGTAACATTTTAATTCAACTTTCCACATGGCATGTTTAAAGCCACAAGATTGAAGGACAATTTAGTACATTTGACACAACTTTAATTTAGGACCTTAAAATTCAAGTCTTCTTTATTTTCTAAAAGTCTGTATCAAGTCAAATCAGATCACCCTTTTTGAAACGAAGGAAGTAATAACTAAGTAGACACACATTCTACACGATAACTTGCATCCTACACGAAATCGTATATAACGTCTTATGCGTATCATGTCACATAGAATTAATTGATCTGCTTGTTCAACCTTATACAAATTTAACTGTCTATTTATTTACACTCAAAATTGAAAAATCATACTATAAATTAGCTAAAATAAAATAAATTAATTAAAACTAAGGAAATAATACACACTTTCCTAATACCTCTATATTTTCTTGAATTTGTGTGAGTTTTGTGAATTTTTCTGTGCACAACGGCTCTTTGTATTTGACTGAGTGAATGTTGCAAAATTTGCAAAACTCGAAATTTCAAAGGGATTTGTTTTTGTTCTTCTTTTGGCTCTTTCCCCTTCACTTTCTATTTCACAAAAGTTCCTTCAATTCTTCTTTTCACTTAGCGTTCGATATTTATATTCCTTCCGTCCCTAATTACTTATCCACTTTTTCTTTTATAGTTGTTCCTAATTACTTATCCACTTTTTCTTTTATAGTTGTTCTTAATTACTAATCTATTTTGACAAATCAAGAAATGACAATTTTTTTTACCTATTATACCCTCAATTAAATAATTAATTACTTTGAAAAATATATAACTTTTCATCCACTTTATAATTAATATGGGTAAAATTGTAAATTTACTATGTCATTAATTATTTTCTTAATAGGTGAGTCAATTTAAAAGTGGACAAGTAATTAGAGATAGAGGAATTATTAAAATTTACTGGCCAAAAGGTTATGTATCTAAGTATCATTATAGAGTGCGATGAATCCAAATTCGTCTGGTACATTCACTATTAAAGATGCATTTCTTTTTTGAAATTCAAATCTTAAAATCGTTTATTAAAGATAGAAGAAACTAAATACTTCCCACAATATTTGATGAAGTTAAAATATTTAATACTTACTCTAGAGAAAATAAAAAATGACACGTTAGAAGCTAATTGGATTCAATGAATTCAAATTTAGACCGATTAGCTAAGGCTAAGATGACTAGATATGAATGACGAAACGAGATGTCTCCCTTACCTTTGTCATACTAGTGAAGATTATCTGAGGAATTAGAAAGATGAATAAAGGGCTATGGCTTTTGCAGGCATCACTTTTTCGAGACCAATTCAAATAATATCGAGATAGAAATTAAATTCTTATTATACCCCGACTCCTTTCTTGATCTCCAAAATGAACCAAATTTTTATTTCAGATTAAAATTTAGGTTAGCTAATTTACTTTCAACTCGTGAAAACAATCTTAAGCAAAAATTCAAAATAAGACTATGTATAACCCAATTTTTTCTTGAATTTGCACATAATATAGGAGTTTAAAGCACGAGATTCGATTTGATTTGGTTCGATGGATTCGGTTAATTTTCAAAGATCCAATTAGCAAAGGTTACAACATATTCTTGTATTAAGTACACTAAATTGATTTTTAAAACTAAAAAGCACTCCATAAAATAATTTAATCAGAGATATGGTCAGTAAAGAGTAAAATCTTTTACAGAAAAAATGTTGCATCACAAAATTCTGCAGGCAGGAGGAAGGACACTGAAATGATGGATCGTCTTTTCTCTTTTTTGTTAGTAATTCAGACTTATATTATATTAAATTATAATATTCTTTTCCTTTTTTATAACTTTTACTAAAATTTAAATACTTTATTCTGTTTCACAAATGGAAATAAAAGAAATTCCTTTTACTTATTCTTCTTTCACTCTATGAAAAAAATCGATTCATTCTTTTTTATAGTATGATCCTTTTCAGTTTTTATTTTTTTTTTCATTTAAAAAAAAAAGGAAGTTCATATGAGTTTTTTTTTAACTTGTCAGTACATGTAATTTAGATATTATTGAATGCCTAAACATATAAATTAATTGTGTACATTCTCAGGTATTAATTACGTAATTAGTTAACCATTTAAATACGTTGCCTCCATTTATATACACATTATTTCTATAAATTGTTGAACTTCATTTTTGACCCAATAGTAAAAACCTCCTTTACTATACATATTTAACGTCATAATACTTAATTTCTTTTTCAAAAATTTAAATCGAAAATATATAATACAAATACTTAATAATGATCCTCAATAGGATTTAATAAACCATCATTCGAATATTTAAGTAAAATTTGCAGACCAGTTTTAAAAACTCTCTCACTATATATATATATATATATATATATCCCAATCAATAAGCACTTGATTTTTCATAATACCAAAATGAATTTGTAGTGAACAAAATATACTTGAAAGAATGTTTGTTCATGTGCATCTTTATTCTTCAATAATTGCATATACTATATAAATTATGAATCAATTTCATTATCCAACTGTCACCACAATAATTACCTAAAGAAGCCAAAAATTGCAGCTATGTATTCTCTATTCCTTAAAAGATACCTCTTTCGTTCCAAATTATTTGTCGTATTTTTTATTTATTATAAGTCTACTAATAGAAAAATAGTAATTAAGAAATATTATCTACTATTTTTGGCCTGATTTATACTATTGTAAATTCTCAAATGATCTGTCATATTTTTTTTTATTATATCTTCATTAATAGGAAAATATTAATTAGGAGATATTATCTACTATTTTTTTCCTTTATTTATCTGTCGAATTTTATTGTTATATGTTCATTAAAAATAATATATTAATTAACATATATTGTCTACTATTTAGCCCTGATTTATACTACTAAAATAAACTAAGAAAAAATAATTAATTTTATCTTAACAACAACAATAGCATATCTTGTATAATCTCCCAAATAAAATCTGAAAGTGTAGATATACACAACTTTTATACCAACCTCTTATGGGATAAAAATTATATACTCGACTCAAAATAATTATTTTTTAGAAATCACGACAGATACCCATAATTTTATTTTGAATTTGCAAAATGGAAGAAAAAATTATTTTTAGAAATTACAATAAATAATTTAAAATTAAGAGAGTATTTGTTTATTAAATTTTAAATTGTAGAAAAAGGGAGGTATAATATGTGGTGTTTTTTTTTTTTATTGATTACTAATATTTAATATAATAAAGTAAGAAATTGAGGTTGTCAGTGAAACATTTGTCTTGGCTTTAAAAAAAAAAA